TTCAACAACCTTACTAGAATAAATCATTATTATTATTATTATTATTATTATTATTATTATTATTATTATTATTTGAATTTGTATACCGCCCTACTCCCGAAGGACTCAAGGCGGTGAACAGCCAAATAAAATACATATAATACAAATTAAAAAACCATTAAAATACAATTAAATAATTGGCCCGGAAAACGAAATATAAAACACCCCAAATTCATAAGACAAATTTAAAATTTTAAAATTTTAAAAGTTTTAAAAAACAGTTTAAAAGAGAGGTTAGGCCAGGCCAGCCTGCTGGAAAAGAAATGTTTTGATGGCACGGCGGAAAGCGTGCAGGTCCGGGATCCTCCATATCTCTGGGGGGAGCTCCTTCCAGATGGCGGTGCCCCCACAGAGAAGGCTCTCCCCCTGGGGGCCGCCAGTCGACATTGTTTGGCCAACGGCACCCTGAGGAGCTCCTCTCTATGGGAGCATAGTGGTTGGTGAGAGGCTACTGGTGGCAGAAGGCGGTGTCGTAGATACCCCGATCCTAAGCCATGGAGCGCTCTAAAGGTGGTAACCAAAACCTTGAAGCGCACCCGGAATACCACCGGGAGCCAGTGCAGCTCGCGCAGGAGGGGGGTCACATGGGAGCGCCCTGTCGCTCCCATAACCACCCGCACGGCCGCATTCTGGACCAGCTGGACCTCCGGGTGCTCCTCAAGGGGAGTCCCATGTAGAGAGCATTGCAGTAGTCCAGGCGGGAAGTGACGAGGGCATGAGTGACCATATTTAATGAGTCCTGATCAAGAGAGGGACGCAACTGGCGAATCAGGTGAGCCTGATAAAATGCCCTCCCGGCCACAGCCGTCAAGTGCTCTTCTAAAGACAGCTGTGAGTCCAGGAAGACCCCAGGTTGTGAGCCCTCTCCGTGGGGGCCAACGACTCGCCCCCAATAGTTAGTGATGGCACCAACTGACTATATCAGGATGTCGGAAACCACAGCCACTCGGTCTTGGATGGGTTGAGCCTGAGTCTGTTTCTCCCCATCCAGATCCGTATGGCCTCCAGGCAGAGGGACATCACTTCAAGGGCATCATTGGGGTGGTCCAGGGTGGAGATATACAGCTGAGTGTCATCAGCGTACTGGTGGTATTTCACCCCGAAACCACGGATGATCTCACCCAGCAGCTTCACATAGATGTTGAACAGAAGGGGCAAGAGGACCGACCCTTGTGGCACCCCACATACAAGGGGCCTCGGGGTTGACCTCTGCCCCCCTGCCAACACTGACTGCGACCAGTCGGAGAGGAAGGAGGAGAATCACCACAACACGGTGCCTCCCACCCCTAACTCTTCCAGCCGATGCAGCATGATACCATGGTCGATGGTATCAAAACCCGCTGAGAGGTCTAATAGGAGTAGGACAGAGGAGCAACGCCTGTCCCGAGCCCTCCAGAGATCATCAACCAATGTGACCAATGCCATTTCCGTGCTGTACCCAGGCCTGAAGCCCAACTGGAATGGATCCAGATAAGCCGATTCATCCAGGTACTGAGGAAGCTGTCGTGCTACCACACTCTCAACAACCTTCGCAACAAAGTGAAGGTTGGAGACTGGACGGTAATTTGCCAATACTGCCGGGTCCAGGGAAGGCTTCTTGAGGAGAGGTCTCACCACCGCCTCTTTCAAGGTGGCGGGAAAGACACCCTCACTCAGAGAAGCGTTTATAATCCCCTGGAGCCAGCCTCGTGTAACCTCCCGAAAGGCTAGCACCAACCAGGAGGGACACGGGTCCAATAAACAGGTGGCAGCATTCAGTCTACTCAGTATCCTGTCTGTCCACATCTTCGGGAGTCACAGAATCAAACTCTTCCCAGATAATATTCTCAAGACCTGCCTCCATCCTCCCCACTGAATCTACCCCGTCAGAGTCCAGATGTTCCTGAATCTGAGCAATTTTATCATACAGATACTGTACAAAGTCCTCGGCTCTACCTTCCAAGGGGTCCTCCCACGCTTCCTGAAGGAGCAGGGAGGGGGTCACCCTAAACAGGGCGGCCGGGCGGTTATCTGATGATGCAATGAGCGGAAAAATAGTTACATTTTGCCACTTTTATCGCCACAAGGTAAGTCTTAATATGAGACCTTACCAGTGTTCAGTCAGATTCAGACCGGCTGGCCCTCCAACCACTCTCCAGGCATCTTTTCCGGCGCTTCATCTCCCTCAGCTCCTTGGTGAACCAAGGAGCCAAGCAAGATTGGCACGGAGTCAGAGGCCGCAAAGGCACGACCCGATCCAAAGCTCCAGCAGCCGCCCTATCCCAGGCGGCCACCAGGTCTTCGGTCGAGCCGTGAGCCAGAGCCTCAGGAAACGGCCCAAGCTCCATCTGGAACCGATCCGGGTCCATCAGGCGCCTGGGGGCAGAACCACCTCATTGGTTCCGCCTCCCTGTGACGGGGTGTAGCAGTTCAAAGGTCAAGGCGAAGGACGGAATGATCCGACCATGACAAGGGTTCAGTCACTATATCCCCAATATCGAGATCATTCAACCACTGACCAGAGACAAAAATCAAGTCCAGAGTGTTTCCCCCCGTGTGAGTAGGGCCATGCACTAACTGGGTCAGGTCCATAGCCATCATGGAAGCCATGAACTCCCGCGCTGCCTCAGACACTTCACCGATGAATGGCAGGTTAAAATCCCCCATGACCATAAGCCTCGGGGTATCAACTGCCACCCCGGCTATAACGTTGAGCAATTCGGGCAGGGCTGCTGCCACGTGGTAGGGAGCCAGGTACGTGATCAGCAAGCCCACCTGTACCCCATGACCCCACTTCACCTCGGACCAAGACCTTCTTTTATAACAACCGCTATCCCTCCGCCCCTACCCTGTGACCTCGGTTGATGAAATGCACAGAAACCAGGAGGGCACATTTCAACGAGGGGGACCCCCCCCTCTTGGCCCAACCAGGTCTCCGTAATTCCTGCCAGATCCGCTCCCCCCTCCTGAACTAGATCACAAATGAGGGGGGCTTTATTTACCATGGACCTGGCATTGCATAGCATCAGCCGAAGGCCCAGGGCCTGAGGATCTGTGCAACCTGGGGAACGAGAGGAGCATTGGAGGCTGGAGCGCGCCACCGCTCAAAGACAGTGAGCGCGCACTCCCATAACATGATATGGCCCCCTGCTTCCACCATATCTGCCCCTCCCACCCACAGTACTGATATAATATCCATCAACAGCACAGGCTCTAACCCCCTCCTTGACCCTGAGTCCCGCACCTCCTGTACCCCGCTCTTCAGCCGGACCAGGCCTCCTCCCCCATGGGTTCTCCCCCAAACCTACACAACCCATCCCCCTCCCAGAGCCCTTTAATATCCTATCTAAAAACTTCCCCAAAAAACCCCACAACCCTCTCTTTGCACTATGCCGCCAGTAGAGTAAGAAAGTATTTCTTCTTCTTACCTCCTCTTTTACCACTTCAGGTGTCAGGGGAGATACAAAGTTCTTGTTCTTGCTCTTCTGGCAGCCTCAACCATTGTTGTTTGATGTTGTGGAGTGTGTTTGATGTTATCTCTCCATTTTCTGGATCTGCCTCATGTTCTTTGACATTCTCCTCTTTTTGAATATGCCTTGTACAGTATGGAATACCAAGACATTCTATCCAGGTGAGCAACAATTTTATCTGCTCTTTTTATATGTAGTTTAAGATTGGTTCTTGCAAATTCTTTCTCGAATGATCTCATTTCTGATTTTATCTCTTCTGGTCACTCCAGCAGCTTTTCTCAAACATCTCAGCAACTAACTTTCATTTATGCTTTATTGTATCTATGTTTGGCACTGGTAACATAGGTAGGGATGAATATGCTTTGTATAAGATGAAAGGAAAGTATTTAATTAGCCTATTTACTGGTTACAACAACCTTATTTTTTTTTTATAATAATAAAAAAACTTTTTTAATATGCTAAGCAGGGGTGAAATCCAGCAGGTTCTGACAGGTTCTGCAGAACTGGTAGTGGAAATTTTGAACAGTTCGGAGAACCGGCAAATACCACCTCTGGTTGGCCCCAGAGTAGGGTGGAAATGGAGATTTTGCAATATCCTTCCCCCAGGAGCAGGGAGGGAATGGGGATTTTGCAGTATCCTTCCCCAAGCCATGCCCACCAAGCCACACCATGCCCACCAAGCCACGTCCCCAAAACCGGTAGTAAAAAAAAATTGGATTTCACCACTGATCTCAGGAACCTATATTAACTCTTCATTTTAAGGTCGAGAGTCTTGTTACTTAAGATTATTGCTATACTATTGTTCCCAGCAGCCACAGCCAACTTGACCAACAATGAGGAATATTGAGAGGCATAACTCAAAAACACATGAACAGGTTTTTCATCTGTTTGAGACACAACGTCATGGAATAAGTTGTGAAGTCCTCAATAACTGCATAAATGCATAGCATTTTCTGCTATACAGAAGCCTTATTATGACACTGTTCAGAAAAAGCCTTTAAAGTATGCCTAAGTACAATCAAGATAAAGGCAAGAGACGGTGATATGTTCAAAAAAAGAACCCGGGGGAAAAGTACAAAATATTACTTTATATGCTGAACGTTCCAACCTCTCTAATTGACATTCAGAGCTCAGAAGCCGGAAACCAAAATACCAAAAACATTAAATGTCAGGAGTCAGATATAGTGGCAGAATCACTGTATGTCAGAAAATAGGCATGACACCCTCAAGCATTCCACAAGTTATTCCCCACCTAATTTCATCTTGTATGCTTATGGACACTAAATCTGCATATTTATAATCAACAAAGTTTTGCTGCATTTCCAGAATGAAACCAAGCTACACAATCTCTCTGGTCTTTAAAAAAAACAACAACAGGATTTCTGATACACATTTCAATTCTCCAGAAGTAGCTAGAGAAATTAAAATTAACATTCATTTTCATAACCAGTTCTTCTTCTCTAGTTTCAAGAGAGAAAATGAAAGTTTTCTCAGGAATAGAAATACCACAGATAACAGATAGGGCTTTTATTGGTTGCCAACTTACAGCTTTCATCATTTTACAGGGCACCCCTACATGCGCACATGTTAGTATTATTGGAAAAAAATATTGTGTATAATTTCTGGTTTCATCTGTACTCGCACACTTTCAGGCAAACCCAATTTCCAGATCACAACAAGCAGGTGTGTCACTCAACAGAACTAGCAACAGGGGTGCCCGTGGTGGGCATTTAACAATCAATTGCACAGTTGTGTTTAACCATATCTTCCAGACTTCCCTGGCTAGATATCAGCAAACAAGAAAAAACGATTAAATGGTAAAAATAAAACAAAAGGCAGGCCAGAGAAAAAGAGAGAGAGACACGAACAACAGGATAAAAATAGAAGGATATTGGAGTTAATATCCATAACCTACTTTATGTATATTTATATATCAAAAGACAAGAACTTTGCAGACCCACTGGAAACAATACTGTGGATCATTAGGATGGTCAGTCCCAAAGGGAGTAGGCCCTTGCTTATTCCAGATTCAATCCTTTTAGGTATATAACAGTAGCAGAATGAAAATGGAAAGTAGGACACCAGGTGATCCCTTCTGTATTCTGAACCAAGACGGAAACCATTTATTCTCCTCTTTGCCTTTAAAATAAGTTGCTCCCAAACAGCTCAAAACCTGCGAACAAAAATCAGCAATTTCAGATGTAAATAATGGAAAGGAGAATTATTTTTCTCCAGATGCTTCCTGGTTTTATTTTCATCGTTACCCGAGTTCATATGATAAATAGGTCCCCAAACACCCAACACCAATTCCTACCGATAATGTCACATCATGAGACGGCATCCCGGCTCCCTCTAGAGGTTGAGAGGCTGAACTGCCGCCTCTATTTCTCAAACACTGCCCAGCTCTGTGATAAACAGACTCCAGATCTGCACCAGACAGACCACATTATTCTCCAGGGTGTAACACCGCCTTCTTGGAACAAAGAACAGTTGTTCTTTTGTTTCCCGGTCTTCACGGCAAACAAATAAGTGCAAGCGAAAATGCTGTTTAAGTGCATTGATATCATTACTTCCTGTCAATGAAAGGTCCTTGTTATGCCACTTAATAAATGGAGGCTCTAACTATCACACTGAGCCACACAAAAGGTCCATCCAGCCAATGGCAATTTCGCACCATGGCCAATAATGAGTACTTTGGAGAGCAGCACTGCACAATTAGGAAGACACTCAAGATTTATTACACACCCTCAGAAGTGATTTAGGGACATTCCACATCAGTCCAATGTAACATCATCTCGCCTGGTCATCCACCACCATTCTTATGTTCAGTTAATCTTCTCCAAAAGCCACTGCTGCTTCAATGCTTGACTCTTTTTTGCACGTTTTGATTTAAAGTTGAAAGAGAGGACCTCGGCTGCCTAAGGAATATTACAAGCAAGAATGCTTGTAAAACATTCACGTTTTCAATTTTAGTAAAAAAAAAAAAAATTAAAAGAAAGAATTATCTGTAAAATCTTTAAATGACTGGCTCATAAAACATGAATTTCCTGTAAAGGAAAAGGGCAGAGGATTTTTTTAAAAAAATACATTTTTATAGTCATTTAATTTTTATAGGACATTTAATTCGCAAAATTACTTCGAAAGCTACAGCCCGACCGAATGCAAGAAAAGAAATAAAAGGTTATTAGGTCTGATTTTTCCAACTCCCCTTTTGTTAAAGCATTCAACAGCAGCATAAACCAACTAAAAGATCAGAAAGCTTGGATAATGGAAAGGAGAATGATAAACATTTTCACTGATGTCTTGTATTACCGTTGATAGTGATTTTATATTATTTGTACTGAAACTCCTCCGAAATACTACCGGGAGATAGAAATTATAGAAAAAATATTATCTTAAACACCACCCAAGTCTTTCATTTCTTTCTAAATGGGAGTTATAATTGAAAAGATATGATTCAAGCACAAGCCATTTCTTCACAATTAACTAGAGATCAAAAAGGACGGGATGAAAGTCATATCTTGGTTGGTAACAAGTACTCTCTCAGAGCAGTCTACTTCAAGCAAGTAGCTTTTTTAATCATTTAAAACACATTTAGTTTCAAACTCAGTTTAAATTAGAAATTTGCTGTTAATCAGTAGGGGGTTGGCTCTTTTAAGTTTTTTTTTTTAATAAATATATTAGAAGTATCAATAAATTGGAAACACAATTGTGCATTGAATATTTTACATGTTCTAAACACATGTTGTGACTGGAAAAAGTTCCATATATATCCCTTTTTATCCTTTATACATTTTCTTACATGCAGATCTTTAAAATTGTGAACTTACTAATGTTCTTTTTAAATCAAAATAGGGCAGTTTCATCCTTATGAATTTCCAGAGGAATGTGAGGAGCTGTTTGAGCAAGCAATGACCATTTTGTGCCAGAAGCCTGCTTGGTCCCATATTTTGAATATTAAATTAGGATTATCACTACATCAACTCAGATTCTCTTATCACTTGACCAATTGGTACTCTGAGATTTCAGATAACTGGGCCATACCAGAATCTGAACCTGGGACTATTTCTAATTGAAGGAAATATTAAGTAACCGAAGAGATCCCCCACCCATTATAGTATAGAATAGAATAACAGAGTTGGAAGGGACCTTGGAGGTCTTCTAGTCCAACCCCCTGCCCAGGCAGGAAACCCTACACCACTTCAGACAAATGGTTATCCAACATCTTCTTAAAAACTTCCAGTGTTGGAGCATTCACAACTTCTGGAGGAAAGTTGTTCCACTGATTAATTGTTCTAACTGTCAGGAAATTTCTCCTTAGTTCTAAGTTGCTTCTCACCTTGATTAGTTTCCACCCATTGCTTCTTGTTCTACCCTCAGGTGCTTTGGAGAATAGCTTGACTCCCTCTTCTTTGTGGCAAAGGATTGCAAAGGATTTTTTTTTTAAAAGAGCTTTCAATCACAATTTAATTTTCTTTATATATTCCACACATGTTGCTCTGGAACACTCTGGGGAAAATCATAATCATCCACTGCTACCAAAAGGGAGTACACAGAAATATTCTATAATTTTGTTTCCCCAAAATGCAGAAATATTCCCCTGGGCCATTTTGCAAAAATGAGGCATGCTTCCATTACTGTTCTCAAAATACATTTTGCAGGCATAGCAAAAACGCTCAGAGAAAGAAAGAAAGAATTAAATTTCTAAATATCAAATGTTTAGCATTGCCTTGCTCCTTGCCATGAGTAGGGATACCTAAGCTTATTCTTCTACAGTCTAAAATCGTTCTTAGTCTTGCCCAGCTTGTAATATTTAAATTAAACTGTTAATATCCTATTAGAGGATAATTCATCAACAGTAGCATGACAACAATTCTCTGGTCAATGGTACAATGTTCAAGTTATGTCAATTGTAAGGTATATACATTCAATCTCTTCCTTGCACTTCAGGATTATAAAAATTCCAACTGTTCAAAATATATAAACATTTTGATAGGCTTGAATACTGGGCTCTATCCAACAAAATGTTGATCAATAGTGAGAAATATATAAGCTAAGAGCTAAGAGAGGGGGAAAAAAACACGTGGACAGATACAAGGTAGATGGCACCTGGTTTAACAGTAATACTTGCAAAAAGAATTTAGGTGGTAGATCTAGGTTAGTAGACCACAGATTAAGCACAAGCCAAAAATGTGTCCAAGTTGACAAAGAGCCAATGTAGTTTTGGGTTGTACCAATGTTGTACACTGTACAAGGTAGTACAGTGTTAAGGTCACAAGAGGTGATAGTACCTGGTCATGTTGCATCTGGAATACTGTTTCCAATTCTGGTTAACACAATGCATAAAGAATGCTGCAGACTGGGAAAGAATGCACCGGAAGAACAACATTGATAGTAAGAAGCTGGGGGTTAACCCTGCAAAAAGCTATTACAGAAAACTTGGTATGTCTAGTCTAAAGAAGAGAAGACTAAGAGATACCATGGAGAGAACATGGTATCAGTTTTCGAATACATAAAGGGATATCCCAGCAGAAGGTATGGATTTATTCTTCACAGCATCCAAGGGTCAGACAAATACAAATGGTTAGAACCTATATAGAGAGAGAGATCCAAACTCAAAATAAAAAGTAATTTCCTGGCTGTGCAAGCTGTTAGACAGTGGAAAAGCTGCTTCCTGAAGTCGTGGGTGCTTCATCACTAGACATTTTTAGGAAAGACTTGCCAGACATTTGTCTACTATGGAATATGGATTCCTGCCTTGGGCAGAAAGTTGGTCATGAAAAGGAACCTATGATTCTATTATTACCTTTCAGCGCCCCCCTCCCCAAAAAATTGCATTTTATTTATTTATTTATTGAAATTTTTGAAATACCTAATAAGTCTATTCAGCAAGTGCTAAAGAAAAGTGTGAAAGAGATCACAGAGAGCTAGAGACAGGCACGTATATTCATATACAGAATGCACTACAGCAGGCATTGCAAAAGCACATATTCTCACTGCAGTAACAATAACATTCAGTGTAAATGCAAATCTGAAACAAATCAAAAATTTGTGGATTCAGTCTATCAGCCGAAAACTTCACTACAAATGAAATCCATATTATGCCTCCTTCCTCTAAGATACTCATAAGCATTCCGTACCCCTGCGTATTCACTCAGTATTTCGTGCATTTGAAGTAGATGAAGATGTCAGAGACTTCGTCCTCTCCAGTTCCTTTAATAGTCACACAGAGAAAAAGCAGCATTGGTGTCCAGATGGGGCTGGGACAGAGTGCCCATTATTTTTCTCTAGTAACAGAAGTCAGAAGGTTAAATAGACAATTTTGCTCGGTGCCATCACTAGATAAACCAGCAGGTAAAGGTCTAAAACCCTCACATCTCGGGACCATTAAATGCAACTGACATTGATCATGCCTGTCCTTCCTTTCTATGATATTTAGCACAACTTACATAGAAAACATGGGAGGAATGGAGAAGGGTGGGGGTAAATAAGATTTTTTAAAAATCACAGAAAGGCACAACTGGATCACACACTAGGCACTCCGCTGTGGCCAGTCCAGAAAAAAAATATCAAGTCAAACTTAATGAATGTTAAGGATCCTAGCTGGTGGAGAAAATAATGATTTATAACCTGTCTGAACCAACTTAACAATAAATGACAATCTTGACTGGAACTCTGGAATAAAAGGTCACAGAATCTGAAGATTAAGTTGTGTTTGAAGTTTCAGCACTGAGCAGGTGTCTCCATAAACAAGCAGATGTTTCTAAAATTACAGCAACTCTAGGTCACATTAGCCAAAAAAAAATACTTTTATAATAAGCAGTGACTTGCTTTTCAGACTCATGGTTTTTGGAAGAACTCTGGAGAGAAGTCCACCAAAGTAGAAAAACTTAGTGTAAAAAGCCATTTAATGAGCACTCTGGTGGTATTTTCTGTCATCAGCTAACAGATTTATATTCCACAACTCTTAACACTTGTTCAGAACCAGATTGACATCATGAACAGATAGGTCTCCAGAAATTACACGCCTGTCATTAAAAAGTACCAGAAATACTGTAAAATCAGTTTTCCAAAAGGGAATTTTGGTTGCATTACAACATTTATGGGATCAGAATGATAATACAAAAATGGTTAAATAAAGATGACAGGTGATCTATAGGTAGCAATAGTAATCCAATTAACATTCAAAATGATCCAAGATCCCAGTGCTCCAAGTTCCACACCAGAACTTTCCAAATTTCAATTATAACATGTTTTTAAAGTTATGTTATTAATTAAGAGCACAAAATTCTTATCAACTCTTCTCATAGAAAATATGTAAAGAGTTTCTCAATTGTTATTATTTAGTAATACATTTCTTTGCTCCTTTGTCTCCTGGAACAGCAATTCACCCAAAAAATCCCCAAAAAACCTCCAACCATCTTAAATAAAACCATCAATCTTTAAAAACAATAAATACAAACATTAAAAAGCTCATTTAAAAATGCAACTTCAATGGTAATTTTAAAGATTTATGAAAGACGTTTAATTTCAGACAGCATTAAGGGACCATTAAGAATCACCTCCATCTGAAAGCAACTGAAATTGTACTAACGGTGCATATCATTTTAACATTACTTGGATCTTAATTTAAAACATTACCAACAATAGCCTTTAAAATAAATAGCTCATAATAGCTACGATAACTCCTTGTATACCGGCAACATCTGGAGATGCCACATTGACAAAAGGCTACATTACAGCTCCTGATCAGTTGTTCTTTCATTCGGCAAAATTGCATAATGATTTCCTAATGGAAGAAAATAGTTCTGACAGAGTGAACAATATTTTCCTAGTGTCTGAATGAGACAGCAATCAGACCTTAAGGAAAGTGAATCTGCTTTGTACAATTAAGGGGAAAGGTTGGGGTAAAGTCATTTTGTGTCTCCTGGATTCCATGCGGGAACATCTGCTGTTGTATAGAGTTACTTGCTTATGTTTTCTTTTAAATAGCTCTAAACAGAAGGATATTACAAAAACACTACAGTTCTCAAGAGC